GATGAAATATTATATAATAACATGAAAAATCTACACTTAATGTTTGTTTCTTAAAGAGGTTATTTTAGTTGTTCAGTGCGATGTTGAAATTCTTCCTGTTGCTGTTCATAAGAGTTTTTTTTTGTTAAATAAAGATATGTTTTAAAGATTCGCGAAATGTAAGGTTCAATGTCATTTTCGAGTGAATCTTAAAAGCATTTTAATTTTTATTTTATCAAGTGCTAGATTATTTGTATGGATGTTCAAAAACAAAATAATTCTGAATTACAGTCTTTGAATACTCTTGCCTATCGGAAGAGGAATATGATATGAAAAATCAATAACAAATTTAAATTAATTAAAAAAGTCTTCATTGAGTGCAATTAAATTTTTATCACGTCAGACAAGCAAGAAAAAAAATGAAAGCATTGAATTTAACTCAATATCATTTCAAGACTTAATTTTTTTATATACTTTTAGTGTAATATAAAACGCTAAAATTATTCATTCTACGAAGTTTAATAAAATCAGCATATAGGATAAAAATTATATTTTAAACTATTGATTATATAAACTGAAAGAATTTATTTTTCAACAAATACGAATTGCTAGATTCTTATATACCTAAATATTTTTTTAAGTAAGGAATTCAACTGTATGGATGCATTTTTTTCGAAATGAAAGCAACAAATCGTTTCCTTTTTTTTTAATATTTGCCAAAAATCGAGTTCATGATGAGGTGATCGGTCTGATGGGGGTGGGGATTTCTATCTATATGACCTTGGACGTCCGTGTTGAAATGTCTCAGTAATAATGAAGCATGACTCACCTGGCTGACGATTCGGAATGCGCTCTGGGTCAGCAAGAAGAGTTTCGTGGCGGTGTTGGTTGCTTCGCCAGAATGCACCCGGTATGGTGAAATGGAGGCTACTGAGCACACCATCTTTCACTGCCCGGTCGTACGCCCGCTGTGTGAGCTTATTGAAGGCTACATTATCCGTATGCTGCACAGATAATTCTTCGTCCATAATGATAGTTCTATTTGTATCAACGTGAGCTCGTTGTTGTACAGGAAGAAGCACTATGTGCTTCTGTGCTTGCTAGCTGTGATACGAATCGTGGTATGAACAAGGAAGATGGATGAATCCCGCCTTCTCTTTGCTCATTGCCTGGTTGTGCTATTTCAGCATCAGCTGATGGTCAAGATCAGAGTGAGGCTGGAGAAACTTTTTTCTGAGGACATTTCTGAAAGTAGGATTACTGTTGCACGACTAGTGCAAGGGAATATTGCTAACCTCGAGTCGTATCTCGAACTGACCGTTTGGAGAAATTATTCCTTAGGGAAATGTCTCTTGTTTTTCTAAAACTGTTTAACTTAACTGTGCGTGAATGGTCATTGGCCCCTTTTTTTCAGTCCCCTAAATTTTCTGTTTTCTCATCCCCGCCTTGTAGATGACTGATGGCATAATTCTCTGGAGCGGTGGGAGTTTTTCTTTTTTGGTTTTTACTACGTTTCCATTCCGTCTTTTTGCTGAGGTAACATGCTTTTCTGCCATATGTTAGACATGGAGAGTGTACAAGATTAACAGTTTTTCTCGTGTTGTATATATTTTCATTCTAGGTAAATTTAATATATATTTCCATTCTAATTGAGTTAAAAATTAAGAACAGTGATGACTATTTTTCTCCATTTCAATTTTGACCTTGTGCTACATTTTATGTATTTTTTCATGACTAAATATTGCCTGTTGTCTGATATTGACACTCAGTACAGTATTTTTTTGTTATTCATAACATTGTCTGTGACAGAGTTTCCATTCACGTGAAGACTAAGATGTTGGTAGGAAAAACACACCTTTTCTTTCAGACTAGCATACACATTTCGCTAGTGACGATCATACTTGGTCCAAATACACGAGGAAGATGCATATAGGGAAAGCTCTATTCAAGATCCATGAAAAGATCCTGATAAAAATAGCGGGTAACAAATGACAAATTCAGCAATCAGGACGAATAATATAAACGCATCTACAATCAAGGATAAGAAAGGTCCATCGACCAGAATCTCGCCATCCACATGGAAATCACTACTAACTCGCATTATTGATGTCAACGAGTTTGTTCAATATGCTCGTAAATATGCCGTGAACTATCTTGTAAAACCCGATGGGTTATTAATGGATATCAACGAACTGAAAACGGCTGAGAAGTGAATAGCATGTCTTCATCATCGATGAAAAGCAAAACTGAATCATCAAATCCACTGAAGAATACTTGATCAAAGCATTTGAAAACTTTGGTGTTCATGTACAACAGATAGTGAGAGGTAAACATTTCCCAATGTGAGATATATTTCTGTCTACCGCAAAAGAGTGTATAGTCTTCACTAAAAAAAGGGCGCGTCATCGGGACAAAAATACCAAGGGCAAAGCAGAACGCGCATAACTGTGTATGAGGTCCCAGGTTTCATCGCAAGACAGCATATAGTGTGGAGAAATTGTAGAAATAATTGCGAACAGAAAAATGGGAATGGTGTTTTAAATCGAGAGGCTTTCAACGTACTTTCCAAGTGGACAGACCTGGACGGTCGGAAACTGCTAGTGATCGTGTCTAGCAGAAAACCAGCCTGTTTCCACTGGGGTAAGACGAGCACTTTTCTGTAAAAGATTACAAACTAGACTACTAACTGGATACAACTTTGTAATATGGCAACTGCGGTGTCTGTAGCGAATACGCGAATCACTTCACTCTCCAAATCAAGTGAACCTATGGAAACGTCACTGTACACACTTTCCCTTGTTATCTCCTACAAAGGCAACGTAAAAAAGAAAAAAACGAAGGCGAGTGGCAGGTAGAGAGAAGAGGAAATAAAGATCCCAATTTAGGCAACACCGTTTCTTTTGAGGTCAAGAACCAACGACTGAAACTTATAGGGAGTCTTTAAAAAATAGCGGTACCTGGGCCAGTCCTGCAAAAAAAAAAAAAAATTGCAGATGCTGACGAAGAAGAAAATAGATATGGACACAAAAGAAAGGCCACTGGAAAGAGCTGCCACCTCCAGCAATAAAGCAAGAAAAGGTAAAATAATGGCTATATATTCACACCAAAAAGTAGGTGCTATTAAGGGAAAAATGTTCCGCCTCTACGTCCAATCCCTATTACACTCCCATATACAAAAATAATTCCCTATCCTAACACCCCCACCATTTTCAACATCACAGACCACCTCTAAGAGACCTCGGAGCTCCTCAGTTGAAAGTTAGGAAGACGAGTTTCCAGAAAAAAAAAAACATTTAAAATGGGGAAAAAATATCATTCCGTGGATGACATTTGCCATTTTGAGCCGGAAATTTTTGAAAAGAGAAACCTGCAGCCATAACGCGTGAGGGGATTAAAGTTCTTCCATATATTTAAGTAGATAACCAAAGCGTGGAGGAGCTAATGAATTACACCACCCCGGCACCGCCTTAAGAGATTTTTAATGGTAGTGCGCGTAGGCCCAGGCATACGGCAAATTAGGTCTATGCCAGGAGAGAAAAACGCTACATTGAACATTTCTGATCCACTGGCCTTAATTGCGACAGATATACAGAAAGATGATGTAATTCTGTTCTGAGAGGGTCCTTGTTTTATACACCCATCCCTTTATAGAGCTTTGAAACTGACGTCCTCAAGAAACATCAAGCTGATACAAGATGGCTTTATAAAACTTTAAATGGGGCAACAGTCAATCGGACAAGCCATCTCGGTTACACAACGACAGTAAGCATCGATCATGGCTAACTGGTTAGCATGCATAAATAGCAGAGGGTTGAGCGATGTGTCAAAAAGGGCTCGACTCATTAGGGATTCTAAACGCCTCGGCGTGAATATATGCTCTGTTAAAGAGACACACCTTATTTCAAGCGACTATGAGAGTGTGATGTCGAGGTTCCGCATATTTTGATAGCCGTTCGGCCGGTGTTTCTTTGTTTGTAAGTCTCTCTTTCCTAGCCTCCCCACTAGCGTCGGTCACATGTATTTTTATTCTTTTTTTTTTTAAATGAATGTGCCCATACACGTACATATGGGTGAAAGACAAATATTGCCCAGTACCCGCGACCACTGTCAGGCTGGCGTTGATATTAACACGGCCCCACATTTCTTATACACAATTTGTTACCACAGGCTTGCTGTTCCCAGGACGAGCCGCATTCTCCGATCTAAAATGAGGAGAACAGATACTACAGATTTTAGTAGATTTACAACCAAAGCAAAAAAATAAAAAGAAACAAAACAGCGTTCATATGACTAACAAAAAATCACGCTTTTCCTCAGTTATGTAAATTTGATTGAAATAAATTTTCGTTTTTCTGATTAGGCGGTTTGATCAGAGAAAATGCAAATATTTCTCGAAATTGTTATATATATATATATATATATATATATATATATATATATATATATATATATATATATATGTATGTACAACAATTTGGAGAATTATTTTGACATGTATATAATAGAAATTTTGGTGGGCATTTGAATAATCATTTATAGTAATTCATCGTGTCTAGAAGAATCCTCAACAGGATGCATAAAGCACTCGAGGCGTCATCTCACTGGAACAACGAGCATCGGTGACGTAGAGAGCCCTTGAGACGTCCAACGGGCCTCGTCCAAATAGACCAACGGGTCTCGGTTACGTAGAAGAAAATGACTCGATATAGCACTGCTACTCACTAAATTCCGTGGTTATACTCATCCAAGTATACGTAACACAACGGATTGTACCACAAGAGCCACGTCTTCTTTCCCTAAGCCGCTCATATTAGAATATTAGAAGCTGGATCAAGCAAGGATATAAAAGTGATAGAATTTTTTTGGTATTTGCATGATCATAGTAATTCATAGTAATTCAGAAGACTCATCAAGAGAATGCAGAAAGCACTGGACCGCCGTTTCGCCCTATTTCTGGGGACTCGTCAACAGTGCGGATCCACTACCGAGTATCGAACCCGGAGACAACGCAAGCATCATACCATTCGACCAACGGGTCTCGGTGAAGAAGAAGAAACTGATGGTAGTGGATGGTGGTAGAGAGAGAGAGAGAGAGAGAGAGAGAGAGAGAGAGAGAGAGGATAAATAGGAAATAATTACAAAGTACATGCTAACAGACACAAATATAATCGAGCAATATTTTCCAATTTCCAAACTAAGGAAACACTTATAGACTCATATATGAATCCCCAATATTTACTTATTCACAATCCTAGCCCATGCTTACAGACTCAAATATACTAGAACAATATTCTGCTAAACTATTCCTAGCAATTGACACAGGCGTCTTTCATGGTTTGCTTCTCGGACCAACCCTATTTTACTTTACATTAATGATCTGCTTAAGACTATATTCCGACGATTTGCGAATATCTGTGCTGATGATACAACGGCATATGAGTGCACCTTCGAAACTCTAGACGACCAGAAATTGGCAGCTGATCTGTTCTATGACATAACTCTTGAAGCTCAGTGGGGGAAAATTGGTCTAGTTACATTCAATCCCTCGAAAAGCAAACTAGTTGCATTTCATCATCGCCAATCGGACCCTAAGCTATCACCAATCACGACTAACGAATGTTCCTTCAGGGAGATCCCATTGCTTCATCATCTATTAGGACTTAAACTCAACCCAAACCTCATACATACAACCCCTCGCTAAAGATACTGGAAAAATGCTCGTTTCGATGTACCGTTCCTGTAAATATCTAACTCCCTGTGATATCCTCTCTCTTTACAAGAGACAGATCCCAAAACCAAAATGCATATAGAAAAATATAAACGATTAATATTTACAATTTGCCTATTTACAAACTAAATAAATTCGTATAGAATCAAGTATAATTTTATAAAAGACTCATTTTTAACATTTAATAAAGCAACATGGCTGCTATTTAGGAAAATCAAACAAACCCAAGTGAGAAGAAGCCAAATGGAAATTGGGTGTCAAAAGGGAGATAAATATCAAGAACGTACCTTAGAATTCTCAGAAAAGTTATTAGACATTTCAAGTTCCCAAACTGTTCTACGCTATCACACCTGAAGAAGAACAGAAGGTACTACGTTCGAAACGTTGTGAGTAAATGGACTAATGTCCATAGTAGTTCGAAAATTAAAACAAATTTTGTAAAAAAGACTGTAAGAACCAGAAATCAGAGGAAGAGTTTAAACTATCCCCAGAATTGCATTAGAAAAATTTTAAAAATATTCAATATAATTCAAAATCATTGAAGAAACTCATCACTTGATCAATAGAGAACGCTTATAACATAAGATTGTTGTAAAAATTATAAACAAAAGGAAGACATCAAAGAAACTTCAACTTTTCAAAATCTTCTCTCTAATTAGTTTCAATACAAAAGAATTGCGCAATTGTAAAGCTATTACTTGGTTTACGTGTGTAAAAGTATTCGGTTTTCATGAGAAAATCAGCGATATTTTCACTTACAAGCAATCATCGACCACCTTGATTTAATAGGGAGTTTTTCCGTTTTGAATTGATCTTCGGTGGAGCAGCTTTCATTGATCTCCCAGCAAACAAATCAAGAGACTTTTGCAGATCTCCACATTTGACATCGCAACTCGATGCGTTGAAACTTCTGAACATGTCACGAGAACAATATAAATTATCAGAAAAAAATGTATTCCCCAAGATATAAGATTGTCTTACTCCAAATCGATCGTTCTGCTTTTGTCGTTAAATGGCATTAAGAATGTTTAACTTTAATTATTTAATTCAAAAAGATCACTTTTCACAGTTCATTGGCTACATTAAAAAAATTGTTAAATTTGATGCATTTTTTTCTTTATGGAAAGAAACGGTAAAAATACAAAAAAAAAAAAAAAAAAAAAAAAAAGAAAAGGAAAAAAATTCGGGTTATTATGTTTTTAAAAAATATCCCCACAATGTTAAAAATGGATTGTCCATGTCGTTTAATATCATGTGTTGGAACACTGATAATTAATGTCGACTTCCAATAAATATTCTCGCTGGTGTTAGAACAAATAATATATATTTGGGTTATCAATCATGGTTTTGATATCAATTGTAGTCATGATATCCATGATATCAATCTCAGGTAGTGCTACTAATCATTAATTTTACATACTACTATAACATGGTACTTGTCACTTCGATAAACAGTTTGGAGAATGAAACTATAATGAGAAAATACAATGAGTTAAAGATAAGATTTGTGAAACAGGTTTACTACATTGAATAAAAAAAAAAGAAATATAGAAAGTCTGTAAAATCTGTGATGGAAATCAATAAGCGCAAAAAATAAAATGTGTCATAATGAAAATACTTTTGAAAAAGAAAATTTAGGTGACATTATTTAACAGCCAGACAAGGATAGATTGGCTGGAAAATACTGGAACAAAATAAAAAAATCAGTCGAACCTCATCATAAAATGTGGAATAATTAAAATAATGTTAATAAGAAATAAATAAAATGAAGTTCTACGCAGTTAATTAAATACTTCATCAACGAAACACAAAACAACTGAAATGAATTATACAGAATTAGTGGCAAGTTTTCGATTAATTTTCTTTTTCGAAATACGTGATCAATTTTAAAATGAAACGTATTTTCTCATCGAGGCAATCAGAATTGATTTCCAAGAAAACTGTTTCCAGATGAACAATACATTTAACAGTTTTTATCGAAACCAATTACACTACTCTTATTTTATTTTAAAATGATGTTATATATATATATATATATATATATTTTGTTAAAGAATACTGACAAGGTACTGCGATTAAGCTTTTTATTTAATTTTTCTTGTGTTCGTAGAAGAGATTTCTTTTCTGGACACAAAATGTGTAAAAACTTAAAGTTCTGCATATCCGAGCGATTTCGATTATTCTTTTAGCCATTATCAAGTGCGATTTTTATCTGCATGTGTATGAAGTTATACGTATATTTTATTTTTCGGTCAGCACATTGTGGCCGTGTTCATTGTGCTGACCGTGTTCGAAAAATGAAACATTCCTATAACTTCGTACACATACATAAAAACACATAATTAAAAATAAAAATCAAATAAAAATCACCTTTGCTAATGGCTAAAAGAATAGCCGAAAGTGCTCGGATATACAGAAATTCTGGACAGTTTTTACACACTTTGTATTCAGAAAAGAAAACTAGAAAAAAAAAACTTAATCATAGTACCTTGCCAGTCGTCTTTAACAAAACATGTATAAAAGATGGATTGCTGTCTAGATACCCAATACACACACACACACACACACACATATATATATATATATATATATATATATATATATATATACGAAGTTGTGCTGAAAGATTAATGGCACGTTTCACATGATATACGTGATCAAAATATCAAACCTTTACATAAGAGTATTTCAATCTGGCTGAGAAATTGTAATGGTTTGACCAATATAATTATTTATGAGTTTGATCAGGAACATAGTTCCTTAACACAGCTAACCTTATAAAAATAACAACACACTATCAAAATCTAAATTACTGACAACCAATATTATTTATGCGTTCACATGCACCTTATGGAACTGTGTTTCTAACCAACTAAACTCATAAAAAATTATATTTGTCGTACCACTACATCATTATCTAGACGACTCACATTACAACTCTCAAGCTCAATTATAGCTCAATTAGGATTCATTTAAACAGACACGGAAACCTACCAAAACTCTATCCACAACATACTCGTAGAAAATACAAGTATAATTGCCTAATCCACATGTAAATAAGATTAGAAATAATGGAAACAATAATAATAAAAAAAGAAATAAAATTCTATAAACATGGCCAAAACGTACTGACCGTGTTTTGAAAATAAAACATTTCTATTTTAGCATTTCTACAACTTCAGTCACATAGATAACCCCCTCCCCGCATACACACCAATCTCCAGATATTAAGGTAAAAATAAAAATCGGCTTTGATCATGGCTAAAAGAATAGACAAAAACGCTTGGATATGCAGAGAAATTTTGGGCAGATTTCACCCACATTGTGCAGAGAAAAGAAAACACTTCACGAACACAAGAAAGGTTAAAGAAAAAGCTTCATCATTATGCCTTCTCAGTCGTCTTTAACGAAACATATATAAATATGTGTGTGAGAGTGTCTGTGTATATGTATATGTCTGTGTGTGTGTAAAAATTTAAGATGTAATTAGAATATATTTGTAAATGGACAATATGAATAAAAACAAGTTTTCCTACTTTTTGTCTTTATTCACACACACATATATACATCTTTACAGTATGCTATATTTATGGGATATATATATATATATATATATATATATATATATATATATATATATATATATATATATATATATATATATAATACACACAAACACAATCAACGACGAAATTTTTCGCACACCCGTCAATTTTTTAATATTGTTATCCATTTCTCAGAATCTAATGCCCGTATGATTCCAGGTTTTTTATATGTTATTTTTAAGAGGCGAATTATGCGTCTGAAGACGGGAATACGCGATATTTGAAAATGATGAAACCAACATCGCACATAAATCTTCATCTAGTTCCTGATTCTGCATTGATGTCCTGCATTGAAATAATATAATTGTCCTCTTCAACATGCACGCCTATACACGTGCCTGTGCGGGCACACACATACACACACGCGCGCAATCACATACATAGATTGATTGATTCATATATTACGACTTATGAACCATTTGAAGGTTATTGAAAGAGAGAAAATATTTTTAGAATTTCTTTTTTGGAGATAATAATGGTTTGGTAGTGGGGTGGGAGACGATCACACATACCTTTCCCAATGGTATTTGCACGTAATTTTGTATAAAAAACACAACTGCAATTGGACTTCGGCTCTCCGATTATCAATTCAGAGCCATTATTCTTTATACCACCCGCACATCCAAGCTTAGAGCACTTGCCATTCCCAAATAGTCACCCACTTAGGTACTGACCAAGCTCGACGTTGCTTAAATACGGAGATCGTACGGGAATCAGTCTTTTAATGTGATGTAGCCGACAGTCCATATATATATATATATATATATATATATATATATATATATATATATATAAATGTATTATATATGTAAAATGTGTACGTATATATATATATATATATATATATATATATATATATAAATGTATTATATATGTAAAATGTGTATATATATATATATATATATATATATATATATATATGTAAATGTGTATATATATATATATATATATATATATATATATATATATAAATATATATATATGTAAAATAAATGTATATATATATATATATATATATATAATGTATTATATATGTAAATATGTATATATATATATATATATATATATATATATATATATATATGCAATTTTTTATATGTATTATTTATATATGTGCGGTACTTATTGGAAAGTGCTCAATATCAGTGATAGAGCTCACATATTTAATTGGATTGATGTGAGTCTGTGACCTTGGGTATGTGTGTCGGCGTACGTATGAGTGGCGTTCCGACGACAATTTTTCCTCCTACTACCACAAAAACACTAATATACACAAGCATATAATACAAATCCAAATATTAAAAATTAATCAGTTTGTCTAACAATCGCAAACACAGTGAAATCCAGGGTCACAAACTCACACCAGTCCAACTATATATATATATATATATATATATATATATATATATATATATATATAATATTAAGCATTTCACCCCTAGCAAGCCGGGAGGCCACTAAGTACCAAGTGGTTTACAGAGGATTTGGAGCGAGAGTAGATAGTAATGATAGAGGAGAGTATGAGGAGAAGGGTAGTGCATAGATCAAGGCAACTGGAGATGTCGATTGACATTACATTTGAATAGCTGGAGATTAAAGCTATCAGGGAAACCGTAGTAGGGAAGGGAGTTCCACAGGCGAGAGGTGCGAGACATGAAGCTATTGGAGTAGAAGAGGCGACTACATTTAACAGTTTCAACAGTGAAAGGGGTGAGTGCGGGATATATATATATATATATATATATATATATATATATATATATATATATATATATATGATATATGATGTTGGCAAAAATGTTAAGGCCAATGAAAATAAAGAAAAAATAGGCCTTTTGCGTTTTTAGACTCAAACACTTGTCTTCATTACTTGGAATAACATTCCAGCCTGTCTTCAGCAGATGCTTATATCGACTATACCAAAGCGAATTTTTGGTGTTATTTACAATGACGTCCATGCAACTCACTACTGAGGTGTCTTGTTAAGCCTTGCCTATTCTGTTTATGACCTCGTTTAGGTATAGTGTTAAACTTTTGACCAGCTAGTATTTAGTCTCATATCCCAGTATTCAAATTTCCAGTTTTTAATTCTTAATTTTCCTTTTCTTATTTTCATTTTCCGAAGCTCTACACAATTGTTTTTCTTTATTTTCATTGGCCTTTTAGCCAGCTATATGTGTACATATATATAAACAGAGGCAAACATACGCACACACACACTATATATATATATAGTTAGATAGATAGAGTAGAGATTGATAGATAGATAGATAGATAGATCGATAGATATAGATGGAAATTGAACTCATGTCTGTTTTATGTAATGAAGCAGATTTTGCTAGTTTGATTTCGCCTGATTTCATCTGATTTGGGAGCGAAAATTTAGATGGCATCAACTTGAGTCACCGCAAATAATAAAGGCTTCGACGAAGGGGAAAATAAAGAAATGAAATAAAGCAAGAAAATGCGAGATAAAATTTGCCGGATATAAAAGGTTAAAGAACGATAAACATCTGAATTATAGGACCAATGAATGACAGTCACGAAAAGAAAAAAAAGAATGAAAGAGAAAGTAATAGAAAGACTGATTGGAAAATAAAACGAACAATATAAAAAAAAAAATAATAATCGGAGAAAAAAAAAGTAAAGAATCAATAACATGTAAATACCAAAATAAAAAAGAAGGAAAAATTGAAAGATACGAAGAACACGAGAAAGAGGTGAATTCAAATGATAAATAAAGAGAATAAAATGAAAATTGGAAAGAAAAAATATTGGAAAAAAGAAAACGAAAGAGAAAGAAGAACAAAAATAAGCTAAGAGAAAGAAGGAAAAACATCTGAGAGTAAAAGAAAGAATGAAATAAAATAGGTTAAGATACAAGTAAATGAAACAGAAAGAAAAACGAACGCAAGAAGGAATAAAAGAAAAAAAAAAGAAGAAAAGAAATGGTAGTCAACAGAAAAATCAAACAAAGATTCATAAAGATAAATAAATTCTTGACCGAAAAATAAAATCATAATAAACGGAATTATAGAGGAAAGAAATGGAAAAAAATAGCAAAAAAAAAAAAAAAAATGAAAAAAAAAAAAGAAAATACTTGTTGAGAAACACATACATAATCCCGTAGAGAAATGACACAGACTAAACAAGAAAATTACATCGAAAGAAAAACTAGAAAATAAAAGAAAATGAATGATTGAAAGTGTAAAAGAAAACTAGAGAAAGGAGAATGAAACTATTGAAGTAGAAAAAGGATTATTAAATTGTAACACAAAAATTAATTATGAAAAAAAAAATCGAATGAAAGAAGAGAAGAAAGAAAAAAGCGAAAGTATTGAAAAAGTGAATGAGAACGGAAGAAAAATCATAAAACCCAGGAATTCATTCGTTTTCAACACTTGAAAGGGAAATAATGTCTTTGAAAACATTTTTATTCTGACAAACTGGCGCGGATTTGATTTGATATATCGTATTTATCACCAATCTGGTCGGACAGCAGACACAAAAATATCAACAACAATATCCTCACCAATCGTACCACACACACACACACACACACACACACACACACATATATATATATATATATATATATATATATATATGGCCTGACGATTGTATTTAGCATGAAGCAGACTGTTGCCTGTGGGTGTTGACTTCAATGTCCAATTTTATATATATATATATCTATCTATAAAAGGCAGGATGTGTGTGTGTGTGTGTGTGTGTGTGTGTGTGTGTGTGTGTGTGTGTGTGTGTGTAACGAATGCCTGCCGCAATTTTCGACGGATTTGCACCAAAATTTACATGCACATGCTCCAAGTTAGCGGGAGAGCCAAGACCGACCTTGCATTTCCCAACTCCCATCGATAGTGGAAATAACCATTTTTTTCATGCTTCTACGGCAGTTTTCATACAGTTTACGGCCAAGAGTGAGAGCCTATAGCTGGCTGCCACGAATAGGCAGGAAGATTCTATTGGCCAGCGTGAGAGCCAACAGCTGACTGACACGAATGTTAACTAGCATGCTAGCATGCAAAAAAAAAAATCGATAGCTGTATTCGTCACAAGTGGGAAAAATTTAAATCTGCATGGCACTTTACCCAATTGGGCCCATCGCTTTGCTTAAATCAACGTTGATTCTGATTCCGCAGAACTGGGTTGGGTGTGAAAAAGTATTTTCATTCGGTTTTTCCAGTTACGAGTCCTTTTTTAAAGCTGATCGTTTTGTGTTCATTTTGTTTAAGTCTTTGTTCGTAACAGATTTAATGTTTAGTATAGAAAAAATTCGCAGTCTGAGATTGGCAAGAAGTAAGGCATGTAGCAACATCAGCACGGCAAACCGCACTCCTTTAAAGGCAAGGAAGGGGCATAAATATTTTAAGTCAAGTGATAGCGATTGCTGTATGAGTCGTACGATTTTCGAATCAAGCACGGGCAACGCCAGGCCATGCTGATAGTATATATATATATATATATATATATATATATATATATATATATATATATATATATATATATATTGTTTGTGTATCACCGTATAGCATATTCGAAGTATCCACGTGTATATACCCAAAATATATAGGAGTACCTATGTTCGCCTATCGCCAAATTTACACATTTGTTTTTTTAACAAAAGTAGCGGTATATCACTTGTTGCTGGAAATGAAACTGATTAATATCAAAGGCAAATACTGCACAACAATTTCAAAGTGTGTTTGGTGATTAAAAAACAACTATGAAACGCAACTATTACCTGGGAGATAATCGCGAAATTTATGCCATGCAATGGGAAGGGAGACAGATGTAAATCGTGTTTATTGGAGAAGCTTATAATATTAAAACATTTAAATAACCCTAACTTGTTGAACGTGTATCCGTAATTTCAAGCACCTGCTCAAACACACTGAGCCGATTGCAAAATAGATTTGACGAATATTAATATAATATGCAGCAACTTTAATATTTTAGAACCCATCATTCATAATATTTCTTATATATCTATTCACATATACAATCCAATATTACTGTACTCGATTAATTTATAACGTGTATATTCACCTTGATAAGTACAAGACTTGGTTTCCAACACATTAGATATATATAGTCGCAACCTAATAAAATTTTATATTCGCACCTTTCTATTATATTTCCACTCAGTGATCTTGTTTAAGTTAATTTGTATGACGAGGTTATTTTATGTAAAGACAAACGAGTTATTCCCCTTGATATATTGTTTAATTTTGAATCCCACTTTAAATTTTAATAATTAAAAAAAAAATAATTTTTGTTTTTTTTTAATTCTTCGCATTTCAAAATTAAGAATTTTAATGATATATATCATTAATAGATAATTCTAATATTTTACACAACAACAATTAAATAAACAAGTTTTAAAACACAATTTCGAATCATCACCATGAGAACGCGTACTATATAAGGCTCTGATTATATTTGCATCTGAAGCTTGCATGATAATCTGAGTCGTCATATCGACCTTGGATATTATGTGTATACAGTAATATATATATATATATATATATATATATATATATATATATATATATATATATCGAACTATTTATTATTATATTTTTCCCCGTTCAGGCTTTGTTTATCCGGGAGGTTCTTCGTGGCTGATGGATCAAAACACATTGAATTCAATGACGATTTCCACCAGGAGAACGTAGGAGAATCAGGCGTACATTTTTCTAATGAGATTTCTAAAATATTCAGACCGGTAGATGGAAATAAATAAATATATTCTAATGCAATGTTTCTCAATCTTTGTAAGCCACGGCACACTGAAGTGCCAATGAAAATATCACGGTACACTGATAATCACTGCTCTATTGGGTATCCATCAGAAGTGAATTTTAAACAATAAATTAATATATATATATAAGAAAGCAAGTTAATTGAGCGAATATCTTTTGTTGCGATCGCACTGTATATATATATATATATATATATATATATATATATATATATATATATATATATATATATATATGAAACTTTTCAGATATTCACTTTAGTATTGCTAATTTCATCCAAACTTAGCTTTGAACAAAGAAACCCAATCTTGAAATGCTTCTGGAAGTATGAAAATCAGTTGAATTTCAAATACTGTAACGAATAAACTTTCATTCATATCCATCCACGCGGCTTACAATCTCACGAATTAGCGATAAGCTTAAGGCTGTTGGTACTGTACACGCTATGCGTAATAACTATTCCTGAAGACCAAGGATATCAACCACGCCTTGTGAACCAAGAAAGAGTGACGGGAAGTTTTTTACAGACGTTCAAAAATCCTATCGAAATGTTCATTGCTGCTTGTAATTCAATTGCGTCGTGTTGTCATAATGGACTTCAGTTTGAGCGCTGATAAAATCTCAAGAGAAATATTGTCTTTATATGCATTATTTAAATCAGATATATTTGGTTCCATTTGCATGAATTATTTCTTGAGAAAGCTTCAAAATATGCATACATTTTTTTTGTGGTGGGGATACCATGTATGTACATTAAAAAATATCAATAGCACATCCGAAGTGATAGTGAATTAGTTTGTCTAACCTACCAAGCAAGTCAGTATCAGTCCAAATTCTTTACGTCTATAGTCGCGTACACACAAAGTAACAAATGCACAAAGAATTTCTGAATTGTTGCTCTATTCATTTATCATACTTGTCACTCTCTACTGTTTCTAAATTCACTTTTGATGAAATTCACAATGCCAGTTTTTTTTTCTCTTTCTTATGCATTCAATTTCGTTATTGATTGATTTTTGATCTTGGTTCAAAATCTCCGCAATTGCCAAAGTTTTGTTCCCATCAATCAATAAGCCTGTTTCCATTTTTAGGTTTCATAACACTAATGACCCATAGGTACCTTTCTATATATGCGATTAAAAATGGTATGAATATCGATATTATTTATATTATTTTTTTAACCGCAAAAGGTGATAATGCCACTGAGATGCCATGGAATATTGACAGTGAAAGAGAATTAAAATACCTTTTATTAGGTGAAAGGAAAATTAAAGAAAAAGTTACAGGAAGACAGAATATAGCAATTGATATTGCATTTAAATTTATGAAGATCGTGGATAGCAGGGAAACAAGAAGAAAATTCCAGAGGCAAGAATTGCAAGAAAAGAAACTATTAGAATAGAACTTGTGTTTATATTTAGCTACTTCAACGGTAAAACTATGGGACCTAATTGCCAATCTAGTAATCAGCTTAAATTCGTACGTTTGAGGTAAAAAGGAGGATATCACATTAGAACAACCGTCACTAAACTTTGTTGACAAACCAGACCAGTTTTGATAGCAATATTTAAAGGATTTTGTAGAGAAACCAGACCAAATATGGTAGAATTATTCAAAGCACGGAAGAATGATAAATTTATAAACGAGAGTGATGGATTCCGTTGAAAAAAATATCCGGCACAACACAGTGAATCAATTTTCTAGCAATTGATTCAATATAAATATTGCACTTCATATCAGTGGAAAAAATAAGATCAAGAAGTGACAATGAGTGGCTGTTGTGGAGGTTAGCATCACTCATGCTTATGGAAGACAAATATTGTTATATTTATTTTTTTTATTTCTAGTATATTTAATCGTCTCAAAGAACCCTTTCTGTCTTTCATCAATATAGATGATGCTACCCCCTCAGGAGAGTGACATTGCGCCTTCTCGGACTAACGTTTCCGCTGACTTAAAATGGAAAGATTATATTGAACCAGTTGGTAGGATTACTGCTAGGAAAGTTGTTTCATTATGTTGCGAGGGACAGTTTTTCTCGCCTGAATACATCTTACATATTAATAAGTCTAATATTCACCCATGCCTTGAATATTGATGCCAAATATGATCTGGTGATCCTGATGTATATTTAGATATCCTTAATAAAATCCAAAGAAGAATCTGCAGTGTTATAGGTGCTGACCTAGCAACTTTGCTTCAATTACTTCCCCACCCCCTTAATTTAGCTTCCCTGTAAATTTGTTTTATAAATAGTTTCATGGTAATTGTCCTGGTAAACTTTCCTCTATAGAGCCTAGACTTTATTAATCTAAGCGCAGTATTAGATTGGCAGA